ACATGAAAAGTTGGGGCACAATCCTACATTTTCAAAGCGGGGGAAGTAAGCCTGAACTCACGTCACCATGGCCTCATTTGGGGATGGGGATGGGGAGTCGAGACAGAGTTTCTCTATGTATCCCTGGAACTCACTATGTAGACCAGGCTGGCCTTGAACTAAGAGATCCGCCTACCTCTGCCTCCCAAATGCTGGCATCTACAGCATGGCTCCATGGCCTCACTTTTTAAGGAGAGCCTGGTGAGTGTTGAGTAGACTTCAGAAGGCTGAGTGCAGAAGGTTCACTTGAGAAACCTGGGTCAGAAGAGACAGATGGTGGCAATTTTCAGTAGATAGGTAGGGTTGTGATGTACTGCAGTGGTACTTAACCCTAACAAAGAAAAAAAAATAAGAAAGGACAGGGAAGACACTTGTGTTTTTTTGTTTGTTTGTTTGCTACAGAGAGCAACACAATCCAGAGAGAGGAATCAGTTATTTATTGCTTTGTGTGGTGGCTAGTTTTATGTCAACTTCACACAAACTAGAAATATCTGAAAGATGAGAACCTCAATTGAGAAAATGCCTCCACGAGAGCCAGCTGTAGGGCATTTTCTTATTTAGTGATTGATGGGAGAGGGCCCAGCCTATGGTGGGTGATGCCATCCCTGGGCTCTGGCCCTGGGCTGAGCAAGCCAGTCAGTAGCACTTCTCCATGACCTCTGCATCAGTTCTTGCCTCCAGGTTCCTGCCCTGTTTGAGTTCCTGTCCTGACTTCCTTCAACAACAGACAGTGATGTAGACGCATAAGCCAAATAAACTCTTTCCTCCCCGACTTGTTTTTGGTCAAGGTGTTTCATCATAGCAGTAGAACCCTTACTAGGATGCTTTGTAACAAAACATCCCCAGGCTGAGGAGCTTAAACCAACAATAGGTATTTATTTGGCATATCTTGTGTCTGGGAGAGGCATGGTCTGGGTACTTCTGTCCCATGAGGTCTGACGCTTCAGACAGAAGACCTAAATTTTGAGAGCTTCAACACTAAACTGCCTAGTAGGAAGGACAACCATTAACTGCTCAAGATTAAGTTAGTGCTAAATAAAAGCAGCGATGCACGTCCTCGTTCAAGCCAGCTATACCACCGTTGCTCAGTAACCTGGCATGGCATGCGATACCACAAGGGGCAGGGCAGACATGGGACATTTCCCTTCTCATAGAAAGTCACATAAACACCCTGACCTGAACGTTTATGTGTCACTGTTGGCTCTCAGCTGAGAGCATCTCCCGCGTGCCTTTCTCTAAGGCCCTGGCTTCCTCAAAACATGGCAGCTGTGTTATAAAGGTAAGGGGTGGGCCTACATTGGATTTTGTATGGCGGATTCACTTCTACCACATTTCTTTTAAGTTTGGAGTTACAAAGGAAGGAAGAAGACTACCACAACCTGATAGAAGAATAGTAATGTATTATAAGATCAAATGGGATGGGTGTATGTTGCTGTGACTACTTTTAGAAAGTCAGCCCCCTCAGGAAAGTTATATGCCGTGGTGGTTTGAATAGATATGGCTCCCATAGACTCATGTGTTTGAATGCTTGGTCCATAGAAAGTGGCACTATTAGGAGGTGTGGCCTTGTTGGAGTAGGTGTGGTCTTGTTGGAGTAGGTGTGTCGCTGGGGGCAGGCTTTGAGGTCTCATATGCTCAAGCCAGGCCTAGCGTGGCACGGTCTCTTTCTGTTGTCTGCTGATCAAGATGTAGAACTCTGAGCTTCTTCTTCAGCACCATGTCTGCCTGCAGGCTGCCATGTTCTCTCCATGGTGATAATGAACTAAATCTCTGTAAGCAAGCCCCAATTAAATGTTTTCCTTTACAAGAGTTGCCGAGGTCAGCAGGGCGGTGGTGGTGCACGCCTATTATCCAAGAAGTTACTAGGGAGGCAGAGGCAGGCAGATCTTTGTGAGTTTGAGGCCAGCCTGGTCTACAGAGTGAGTTTCAGTACAGCCAAGGC